AAAAAAAAAAATTAGCACGTGTTCATAATTTGTGCAGTTTTTGTGCATATTTTTTCATTGTTACAATTTGTAGGAGAACTGTCAAGGTGTAAGGAAGACTGCACAAGATAATCATACTAGTGCCAACAATTCTAGAAGAAGCATAAAGCCGTCTATAGGAGAAACACGGAAGTATATGAATCTTATGTGGATGAATACTGATAATTTACTAAGAGTGGTGCTATGTGTACACACACTTTTTTACACAATGTTTTACACCTCCCTCACATGGAGGGGGGCCCACGATTATTTTATTATGTGTGAGCCCCCCTCCATGTGAGGGAGGTGTAAAACATTGTGTAAAAAATTGTGTACACATAGCTTTATTCATTTACTGAATGGCAACCAAGTGACTACAGTGACTGCCCTCTGGTAATTTAGATTATAACCCCAAAAAGAGTGCTAAATCATTATTGCACCAAACATGCTCCCTTAAATTATTGCGTCAAATTTGATAGAGAAAAATGATAGAAGAAGATAGAACGGGACAAAAAGGACACTTGCTTAAAGGCAACAAGATGTTCTTGATCTCAAATTAGTTCTGGAAAATGCATTTTGCGACATCAAAAATTTTAAAAAATAAATAAATAAAATTCAAAGTGTAATGCATTTTGGAATGCAAAATATGGAGACATATGATCCCGTACTAGGAAATACAATCTCCATAGATCCATAATGAGCCATAGAGAAAATTTCCCTGATCTGGTCTGAAGAAATCCAGTATATTTTACAATCGCTATCTCACAAAGGTGATGAGGTGTTCAAAGAAACAATGTGAACATACAAGTAATAAAATATGTTGTATGGTATCTCATACAGATGTTACTATTTAATATGGACACGTAAATAATAAACAATAAGGGTGTGTTTGATTGACATGGAAAATTTTTTCCTTATTTTGAGGAAAACAAAAACGTAGTCTCTCGGAGAAAATGTTTTCCTCAAAATCAAGGAAAACTTTGCATATTTTCCATAGAAAAAATGGCAATCAAACACTCCAAAAATTGAAATTCAAGTGGAAAAGGCCATTTTCCATGGAAAATTTTCCGATCAAGCTTGGTATTCAAAGAAAAATATGAAGGTGTAATTAATTATTAAGATGGTGTATAGTATTTCATAGGATGTTTTAGCTGGACGATGATATAAAATAGTGACTTTTTTCATTTAACCACAAAGCAACGAACTGAAAGAAGTTCAACGTTGAAGTGATGTGGAGTGCAACGTGCAAACAGCCTAGTCAAATAACACTCAGAAATGAGAGTATACAAAGCAAAGCACTAAACAGATACTGAATAGCTGTAGCCCGAAAAAGAGCTGAAAGAGACATCTATGAGAAATAAAATTGGCTGTTAAACGTGTAGTATGTGCAAATTCCTTGAGCAGGAGAATGACGATGCAAATACCTATAATGCCATATAATCAATGGCATCGCGATTACTTATCAAAACCAATCACGTAAAGATGGCTAAACAAAAAAGTAGTACGTGCAAATTCCATGAGTACAGAACATCGAGAGAAGAATGAAATGTATATGACACTAGTTCAAGAGTAACCATTGAATACCAAAAAAAAAAAAGCATCACATATACGGAAGCACAACTAAATATTAACCAAAAAACAATTAACACGAGCAAATATTGTTGTAATTAAGACTCACCTAAGATTCGAAAGAAGCTTCGATGGGTCCACATACAACTGTAAACCCGACAAATATGGAACATAATATTGTGTGACGAGATCTTGCTTACCCCTCCTCAAAGTAAGAGATTTACACATATCCTCAAAGTAATAAAAAGGAACCACGTCAGATTCCTGCATTTTCAATCCGCTTACATTCACCTTCCAACCATAGAAAATGCGAAAAATCAACGAACTTTTAAAAGCTTCCTTAAAAATATTTAAAAACCGCCAAAACTTGTTATGAGTTTGATGGATATCGTGTTGAACAGATATTGAAAGCACGTCCTTTGCTATTAACTGACTGATCATACATTTCAATGGCAGTCATGGAGACAATTTAAAAGATTGGACAAGTGGCAAGACCTTAGCGGTTAACTGATTAAGTTGTGTGATAACTGTAACAAACTTGTTAAACAGTTAACTGAATTAGAAGAAGTACAAAAAAAAAATACAAATTGCAGTAGACAAAAAATAAAAAGGAAGTCTTGGAGCTGGGGCCTGTGTTTCAACACAGTGTCCTTAAAGCAATATTTGCCCCCTCAACGAAGTAATTCGAGCGCTTGCTTCCTAGGATACAGCGGCACGAACTGCAGCTACGCAGTCGAACTGAAAGAGTGTGCCGGAACGGAATCACCAAGTGACTGGAAGAAGACAGGAATTCGAACAGGAAGCAGAGAGATTTCGTGCAGTTGTTGTGGTGTATCTGAACTGAAAAGATTGTTCAATATTATAGGCAAGGAGGAGCCTTTGCCTCTTAATGCAGCCATAACTCCTGCCATTACACTGTCATTTTAATTCTGACGTTTTGGAGTTATAAAATAAATGAAAATCGTTTTCAGGTTATGTTTTAAATGGAAAAACGTAAAAGAAAATTTTCAAAATGTGGCTTGCACTTTGTGGCCAATTTTTGACTCATTCGGTCCGACATTCGTGCACGCAGGTCGCGCCCACACAAGTTCAAGACTCGAAGGCCAAGTAAGTCCAAGATTTGCACCCCTCCTGTAGGCGAGTAGGCCATGTAGGAGTCTCTATGCAACAAATGGTTTCACCTTACAAATTATTAACCATATATAAATTGGTCCACATTCTCATTTCTATCGTATGTGGGATAACTATTTAAGTTTTCCCACATTGCCACATTTTTTTTCCTTTTCCAATGTGGGATGACACTATTTATAGTCCCATATATTCTCATTTTTCCATTTCTAACCAATGTGGGATTGTAATCCCTTTTAAGGCTCCTCTTCAAATCCCAACTTTCAATCAATGTGAGATTAATTTTACATACACAAGCAAAATGTTTTTCCAATCAATATATTTTCCAACAATAAATACACATAAAGTAGCCTCCACATTGATCTCTTGAGGGCTGCATGCAGAGAACTCGCTCCAAATGTCTTTTCAAGTCTACAAAATAATCAGTTTAAACAAAAAGTCGCAAAATAGATGAGGTGGTTATAAAAGAATCATTATCTCGTGCCTTGCTATACTGCAATGGCCAACTTTTGATGTGATTTCTTGTTCAGCATAAGGTTGTCATAAGTTAAAGTTTGCTTCTAACTTGATTCGGATATTCAAGCCTACTTTCGAAGGTCATCAATACAGAGGATAGTTCATGCCATGATATACTTTCTCTGCCGTTGATCTGTACAACAATAGGAGTATACTCTTCATCCAAACCTGAGTAACAAGATCACTATGATCCACTGGCTTTCCAGCTATTAGAAGATTATCAGCCTGCTGCTTGATGGTTGAGAGGTATTGATCCATGGTCATGGATCCTTTCCTAGTTCTTTGCAGTTCTCTAGTAAGAAAAACGATCATTGATTTGTTAAGTATCCCATAGCTCTCTTCTATTGTGGTCCACGGTGTACTTGAGCTGGTGCACCCCATGACTCTTATTGCTATCTATGGTCTCATGGACGAGTATAACTAGCCAATAAGCAACTGATCAGTAGAAACCAACTTGTTGTACTCAGGATTTTGAATAATTTCCACTACTTCTCCTCCACTGGTAGTTGTCTGTGTAGCTAAAAATTCCAACGGGCAGTGTTTTGTTCCAAGTAGATAGCCTTCAAGATTATGCCCTCTGATTATTGGCATAATCACGTTCTTCCACAAGTTTCACAGGAGGTGTTTGGGTGAGGTTCATTCCAAACGGTGAGGCTTGAATTATACCAACTTGAGCTGATGGTGTAAAGCTTGGAGTGGACTGATTACTAGTATCGGCGTTGGCCATTATGCTCTGATACCAAGTCTGAAAACAGAATAAATTGGAGCAAATTTCCAGCACACATTTCATTCTCATTTCGTTCACCTTATATACACACTAAAACTATACAAGCAAAAAACATACAGAAAGAATATTCTAATTTACCAAACAGCCTTTTGCCAAGTGGCTAACTGACTATATTTTATTTCAAAGAAACAATCCAACGTGCACTGCCTTCCACTGAGAAATTTGTTAAGCTGTTGGTTTGTTGATAGTGCAAACTTTACTGAATAGGATCAAGGGCTCGTTTCAAGTTTCTATTTGGATTTCAGTGTGCAGTTGAGTATGCGTCGTGAAGTAACTTTTTGACCCAACTTGCACGATTCCTGGGAAGGTCAATTAATTAATAATAAAATAGGGAAGTTACATTCGGTATTGTCTGTTGTTCATAATTTGATGAAAAATGTCTATTTGGAATGCAAAATGTCAAATTCTCCATTTAACAAACGGAGATAGTCACGAGGACCGCCAGCACGCTGCTATGAAACTAAGATCAAGTCCATCACATTCTCCTGGAACAACAGTTCTGGAAACCTGTCTTGAAGAGATAAGAATCGAGCGCCAATTTCCAGTCATCTTCCCTGAACGATTTACTGGTTAACATGGATTTAGTTCTAAGATCAAATACATAAACCAATTGCATATATCAGAGTCATGCAAAATCCAATGAGAAACCCATGAAGGGAATCTTCCAAGATGTAAGAATAAAAAGATAAAACCTATTAAAACTAGAATAGATATATCACAATTATAGTAGGAAACTACTAATCACGATTATGTACTACATCATTCATCCTATACAATTTAAGGTTTGTAAGCCCCCGTTGTCATTGGCTTTGTCTTTGCCTCTTTCAAAATAAAAGATTATATTGAGGTTGCAAAAATTTTCTGTATATTTTTTATGCAGACTCAAAGAATGAGGTCAGGGCAAGTGCCTTACCGGAGCACACTATCTGCCTTGAGGAGAATTGCTCATGAAGAGGGTATCCGTGGATTGTACAGGTTAGTTTATCTCTTTCACATCACGATTTTGATAGAGATGGTGGATGAAGTTCTTGTTAAGAGATTGATATGTGGCTTTTTTCTGTGACGTTCTTGTGCGGACAGTGGTCTTGTGCCAGCTTTGGCCGGCGTTAGTCATGTAGCAATTCAATTTCCAGCATATGAGAAGATTAAAAGTTACTTGGCTGATCAGGGTAATTATTCACTTACTCTTTTTCTTTTTTTTTCTGTTCCTTCTCTCTCTGGAATAAAATGAGAATCTTGCTAACTTTAATTCAATATTTTCAGATCACACCAAAATGGATCAACTCAGTGCACGAGATGTGGCTGTAGCTTCATCAGTTTCTAAAATATTTGCTTCCACGTTGACATATCCGCATGAGGTATGGTGTGAAGAACTTCTATTCTTTGGTTGTCTACTTTTTATACACGTAGACATGGTTATAAGGTGCTCAGTTCCCTTTATGTTCTACCAACAGCAGGAAATAAGAGGTAAATCTTAGTATACCTATTCAATTTACTGACTGAATTGGAGAATTAACTTCAAATCAATTTCACTTATGTTTGTTATTTTTTAAAATCTGCAATGAAAGAGGAAAATATACCTGGTATCATTAAGGTGTTTTTGGATTTTCTACTCTTTGGTTTCTGGTTTTAGGTATTGGTGTAGGTTTGCACAAATTCATCCATTGAAACTTAATTCAAATCCCTTAAACCTAATTTTTATTTCTCTGTAAACATACAGAACTTGTGCAATTCCAAAATCAGTAGGTTTTATTTGAAATTGTTAATGTAACATCCCATAGAAGAGAGCAGTACTTTCCTCAATTTCTGAGGAACAGAAATTCTAACAATTTGATTGCCACATTTCAAGTATAAGAAATTTTAAAAAATGGTTTTCTTAAATATTAGATTGAATCTCAAAAATTCAAATTTGGAATAAAAACAATTGTTTTATATCCGAGTTCTTTTTGCTGAATATCGAACTATTTTTTTCCAAAGCTGTAGGCATTATTTATGGTTATTTAAATTTCTATACCACACAATATGCTAGTGGACACTAGAGGGAAA